GGGGGGGGGGGGGGGGGGGGGGGGGGGGGGGGGGGGGGGGGGGGGGGGGGGGGGGGGGGGGGGGGGGGGGGGGGGGGGGGGGGGGGGGGGGGGGGGGGGGGGGGGGGGGGGGGGGGGGGGGGGGGGGGGGGGGGGGGGGGGGGGGGGGGGGGGGGGGGGGGGGGGGGGGGGGGGGGGGGGGGGGGGGGGGGGGGGGGGGGGGGGGGGGGGGGGGGGGGGGGGGGGGGGGGGGGGGGGGGGGGGGGGGGGGGGGGGGGGGGGGGGGGGGGGGGGGGGGGGGGGGGGGGGGGGGGGGGGGGGGGGGGGGGGGGGGGGGGGGGGGGGGGGGGGGGGGGGGGGGGGGGGGGGGGGGGGGGGGGGGGGGGGGGGGGGGGGGGGGGGGGGGGGGGGGGGGGGGGGGGGGGGGGGGGGGGGGGGGGGGGGGGGGGGGGGGGGGGGGGGGGGGGGGGGGGGGGGGGGGGGGGGGGGGGGGGGGGGGGGGGGGGGGGGGGGGGGGGGGGGGGGGGGGGGGGGGGGGGGGGGGGGGGGGGGGGGGGGGGGGGGGGGGGGGGGGGGGGGGGGGGGGGGGGGGGGGGGGGGGGGGGGGGGGGGGGGGGGGGGGGGGGGGGGGGGGGGGGGGGGGGGGGGGGGGGGGGGGGGGGGGGGGGGGGGGGGGGGGGGGGGGGGGGGGGGGGGGGGGGGGGGGGGGGGGGGGGGGGGGGGGGGGGGGGGGGGGGGGGGGGGGGGGGGGGGGGGGGGGGGGGGGGGGGGGGGGGGGGGGGGGGGGGGGGGGGGGGGGGGGGGGGGGGGGGGGGGGGGGGGGGGGGGGGGGGGGGGGGGGGGGGTGGGGGGGGGGGGGGGGGGGGGGGGGGGGGGGGGGGGGGGGGGGGGGGGGGGGGGGGGGGGGGGGAGGGGGGGGGGGGGGGGGGGGGGGGGGGGGGGGGGTGAATTTATGCATTGTGAGCACTGAGAAGCATCTGATTCCTCTTCTTACAACTCCGAGGCCCATGTTCTTCCTCCTTGTTTTGCCTGGGCTGCACCATGAGAACGCTGTGTGCTTGGTGCTTTTCTTCATTCTGCTTGCTCTGCTTGGAGGGTCTTTCCTGCTCATCTCAAGTTCTTCTCCTCCCGAAAGCCTTCCTAGCACAGTACCCTCAGTTGGAAGCACAATTTCTGAAACTGAAATCTGATGACACATTGTTTCCACTTCTCAAATGTGTTTTTCTTGGAGGTACTGAGGTTTGAACTCAGGGTCTTGTGCTTGTTAAGCAGGCACTCTACCACTTGAACTTTCCCCTCCCCCCGCCCCTCCCCAGCCTCAGCCCCTGATTGCTTTAGTTAGTTTTCAGGTAAAGTCTTAGTTTTTGCCTGGCACAATTCTCCTCTATGCCTCTGTATAAATGGTGTTACAGGCACAACCACCATGGCTGGCTTATTTGTTGAGATGACTTATTTTTTGCTTTTTGCCTCACATATCAATCCTCTTGGTCTCTCCCTCCTAAATAGATGAGATTTGTAGGTGTAAGCCACCATGCCTGGCCTTCATATGCCTTTCTAACTGCTCACTTCGTATAATGGTTGCTTGAACTTGAATCTTACATTCTAATTGTCCAGAAAGTGCAGTAAAACAGAGGAAGCGATCAGCTCATTTTTCCAGTCCTCTTTTCATCTCACTTTTCTTGGTGGCTCTGAAAACTACTTATCCAAAGGTATTCAGACATTGTTTACAAGGCTTTGGTGACTAGATCTGGGTTCCATGTCTCTATGTATATTGAGCTCCAGATCTCAAAAGAGCAGAAGATGGAAGTATTCAGGCAAATATGAGGAAAAAATGTGTTTTCCCAACTGGAAACATGGCCAACAAGTCAAGTCCCACTGCCTTTACACATGAGCTATGTGATTCAGACATCAGCACATATAGTTTCCTTCCAGCTCTGGGTTTAGCTCTTCTTTTAGAAAGACGGGCTGAAACTCTGAGACAGAATTGATGCTTGTTTTGTCCACGTGCTGTTCTTGGCCTTGCTCTCTTACAAAGACACAGAGGACCTCTCATGATGCTAAATTCAAGGATCCACTTAGTGCTGGTGTTCTGTAGGTTGGCTGTCTCCTTAAGTTTTTCCCATTGCTCCCAAAAGAGGATGAGTGCGTCATATCTGTGTGTTTGCTCATCGACTGGGTGCTCTCCCTGCCCTACAGGCGTCATCAGTCCTCAGCTTGGGCTGTGTATGAGTACACAATGTAAAATCACCATGCTCTTAGGCCATTATTAATATACTGAGTCATCCAGGATTCTTAATAGGCTTCAACTTGAAATGTTGTTATTATCTTTCTGGTTTCTATTCAGTGTGCGCCTAAAATAGCTCTTCTTCCTCACACAAGCTCGCAGACTACTGCATCAGCTCTTTAGGATGTCCTTCATTTGCTAATTTGGGACATCCTGATCTTCATATCATCTTCCTTGCTATGTTTTCTCAGGTTTATGGAAGTTTCTGGAATGTCTCTCTCCATCTGGCACTTCCTGAAATCCTCTTTGTAATATAATTTGCCAGACCAAAGCTGTTGTTTGTATTTTATAATAAATAGGGAACTGATAATTTTTATAATATAAAAATCCATATTCTCCATATTTGCTGAGTTTTATAGTATAGGTCAGTTCTCTTAGGTCTTTTGGAGATGCATGTTTTAATGGAATTAAGGCATTATTGCATGAAAAAGCACATAAATATTGCTAGTTTATACATGAGCAGTACTTGGCTTACTTCATTTATCTATTTGTAATGTAGAAATAATCCCAAGAGAATGGGACACTGGAAGCTATAGCAGAGTTGATCTAAGTATTAACCACATTGTGCCCTTTTCTCTGCAGTGAACACCACTAGCTACACTTCCCAGCATGGTAAGACTGGGTTCTTTCCAGGAAGTATGTGGGCTGGATGAAGCGACATGTGCCTCTTGTAAGTTTAGCCCACAGCCCTTTTTGATAGAGTTGGCTCTCTGTTCTTCTCTACCAGCTAGAGCGAGAAGACCCTGAAGACACAGCTAAGAGTGGGTAGAATAGACAGAAGGAACCTGAATCCCTAAGTGGTCATTTTAAGGAGTGCTGTGCAACTTCATCCAAGATGCAATCTGTACATATCATTATGTTAGGTAACTGAAATATCAGGCTGTTACAGCAGCTTGCCTCTTATTAGCATTGAGTGAAGAAAGAGAAAGAAATGCTATTTGGGTCTTTATTGGGGTTCTTATTGACTGTCATAAAGGGGACACTTCTGAGTGGTTAAGAGTGAGCATGCAGGCACTGCCTTTCTCATGGGGAGAATGCCAAGGGTAGAAAAGGAATAAAAAAGGGATATGAGAATCAAACTTTGACTCTTGAACATTTTTGCAAGGGAGCTGTTTGCTGTATGAGAATTGTGTGACAAAGGCAGGATCAAGTTAGGGGCGACCTGAAGGTTCAAGACTCTTAGCCATTACCATCGGGAAATTTGGGTGACTGTTCAATGTATCAACAGTGAGGTGACATTAGAATTGGAGAGGCAGAGTTGTCTGAGATGGGCCTTTAATCTTAGAAGCCTTTACTAACCAGAGACATACACTGTGTGCTCAAGGTAAGGTGGAGTTTGTGGAACGAGAATTCATAGTTTTTAAGTGACTTCTCAAAGTAGCCCTGGAAGCCATGCTTTCCAAGGGAGTGGAAAATTAACTTTAACTTTAAAAGATGGGCAGGGGCATCTTACCCTTCTGATAATGTTGGGGTCATTGCACTTGGCAAGTTTTCCAGCAAAAAGCTGAACTCCGAAGCTTGCAAAGACAAGCATTAATGTCAGCAAAAGAATGGAGACCTGAAAGAAATTCATGAAATAGTAAGTCTTTGGGGAAAAACTGAATGTTAGGTTTGGTTTGAATAGTGATATAAACAGGGCTTTGTAGATCATATTGTATAAAATTCATGGGTTTTTGATAATATCTTTTAACTTCTATACCATAGGTCATTCAATTAGCCTTATTTAAATGTCAAAAAGAGGAAATTAACAACAGATTTTGAATTTTTAAAATAAAATATATATGGTTTCCATGTAAGAAAAAAGGATAAGGTATTTTTTTATATGATTTTTGACTTTTCTGATTTTAAAATCAATACTTTGTTGTACTTTGTTTAATGGAACAAAGGAAAAATGAGTAACTCTATGGTGCCCGATTGTCTCAAAATGGGTTCATATCTTTATTAGCAGAGCATAAATTAGAGAGACAGTGGCTTTGCTTTCTTGTGAGCATGAGGGTGTGTGTTAGGCACAGGGGCGTGATGTAATTCAGTTCTGAGAAGCAAATCTGTTAACTCGCGCTCCCTCTGCTGGCTGCCACTTTTGTCTCAGCAGAGAAAAGAAGCAAAGGGCAAAATCTGAAACGAACAATTGAAATCTATGGGCTGAATAATCTCAACCTATACCATTACACAGAAGCATCATCAGGGGAAAGGCACAACGAGATCCCTTCTGAGCCCGATCAGTGGACAAAAACTCCATGCACAGGAACTGTCAGGTGACAGTCTAGCTGTGTGAAAAGTCATAGTGCAAAGAAAATCGGAATTTTAAACATATCTTAAAAAACATATTAGCAACTATGTGCCAATAGTGATAGCATAATATATCCTTAAAATACCTTATATCAATTAAAACTACAGCTGGTCGCTCATCATAGCTGTATTCTAGAAAGCATGTACAAACAAACTATGAAAATCAGTTTGTGTTTTTTCATGTACAAGCAGAACTCGTCTGTAATAAAAAGGATCCTTTGATGACTCTTTTGGAAGGCAAAGACCCTTCTGTAACAGGTTATAAGCAATGAACCTCTTACTCCTTGTTTTATCTTCTTCCCTGTTCTCAGAAGACCCTGGAGTAATGTTTGTCCAACTAGAAACAATGTTTCTTCTTGAATCACACTCATAAGGTTTTTGTTTGTTTGTTTTTGGCAGTACTGGCATTTGAACTCAGGGCCTTGCACTTGCTAGACAAGTGTTGTAGCACTTGAGCCATGCCCCTATCTCTAGTTTGCTTTAGTTAATTTTCAAGTAGGGTCTTGCATTTTTGCCAAGGAGGCCAGTCTCAGATTTCTTCTTTCCTATGACCTCCTGAGTAACTGGGAGACCAGGCCACCATGCCAGGCCCACACGTGTAAGTGTAAGTATTCTTTACTGTATCTTGAGATTGGTTAAAGTTAGGTAAACATGTGTGTTGCATTGTTTACACTCCTAAGAACTAGAGATAAATTCTATACCATATGCTTAAGGAAACACACACAGGATTCTGAGCCCAAATGCATTAATTCCTAATCTATTTTATGAAGTTGACGGGGTTGAATCTTCTTATCCTTCATTTCTAGATGGAGAAACTAAAACCCAGAGTAGAAATTAGGATCAAGTAAAGAATTACAGAGTTACTGGCTCCTACCTCTTTGGGTTTGCCATTAATTGTACTTTACAGAATGATTCTCTTTAGTTTGCTAAACAGTGTTCATTGAATTAAATAAACTAAGCCAGAAGCATCCCTTGGTGAACTTTCTGAATGTGCATTATGTTTGCTTTTGCCTCTATGACCTTCTGGCAAAGAACAAAACTGTAGACCTGACCTTGACCACTTAGACTGACTTTATCTCCCTATTAGCTACATGACGGAGTTGGACCATGTGAGCTGAAAGCTAAGGGCAGCTTGAACATACCAAAAAAATTTCCTTGAAACCGCTGAAAAGTTCTCGAACAACTTTCCTCATCTGGGGCACCAGCTTGAATATTCGCAGAGGTCTCAGGCACCGAAGAATCATCAGGAGCTGAGCTCCGGATTCAGCAGGCACATTTTGAGGCATCCAACAAAGAAATATCAAGCTCACCTAGAGGGAAAAATAACATCGGGAATTATGCAACATCCCTTCCACTTCCACGTTTCTAAGGAAAATAGCCATGACTGGCCATGATTCTACTTCATCAGAGCGTCCATGTCTTGTGTGGGAGGAGCACACACAGTGTGTGTGTGCACCATCTGTTAACTTTGTACAGTGAAGCCCACTGAGATCTGCTAGAGACCTCCAAGGGAAGTCATTATGTGTATGCGGGAATGAAAATGGGGTGCCCAATATGTGTCTGTGTGACCCCAGAACAGAGCTCCGGCTCTTTCTTTTAACTGGAGGCTTCAGTGATACAACCTGATTGAAATTCCCATCATGAATATTTTATTAAAGACCAGCAACACACCACAACAGCAGTTGTGCCTGCAAAGACTTTGATTTCATGTCTTCCTGGATAGGCAGAAAAATGAAATTTCTTTGATTCCACTCATGATTTCCCATTCTGTTTAACAGAACACTTGAATGGCACCTGTTATAGCCAGGTATCCAGTGCATCAGAATCAGAACAAAGGCCCAACCAAAATGATTTTAGCTTGCTTTTAATGACAATTGGCTCATTAATCAATAGCATGATGTATATGTTGTTAACTGGTTTTGTATTATGGAACCATAAGAATTGTGGTATGCAAACTAGCTTTGCTATTAATATATGTCTCATTCATATGTTAAATTGTAGTTGATGTGCTTGACCAATGTAACTACCCATGGACAGTTTAGTGCTTTTTTATTTAGATTATTAAGATTTCACATGCACTTCCCTTATTTGCATATAAGGGACTAATCTATAATCCATTTAAGAATTCAGTTATGGTCACTAGACCTCAGATATCTCACTCTTGTACCAAGAGATGCAGGAGATTTTTACAAAACCATTACGTTTTAGACTTAGGAACTAACCAAAGACTTACAAGGTAAATAAATATGTCCATTACTCCACCAAAGTCCCTGATGACAGCAGTTGGAGTGAAAAATAAGCCATCTGCCATAATCTTCAGATTAAGCTCAATACTCATGAATATTACAAACACATACTCGGCGATCTGAAATGGGCAAAATGCAGTTTGGTTCAGTGAACAGCAAAATTTCAGGTCAATGTTTTACCACCTGGCTAGGAGCTGAGAGTTAGCAGCAGTACCTGCAAAGTAGGTGCATGCATGACTCTTCGAAAGGGAGATTCGAACATCATGGAAATGCAAGAGCAGATGGTTACGATGATCATGACCCAGTCCAGGTAGGTGACCAATCCCAGCAAGTCACTGCCAAAGACCAAACAAACTTGAGAAACAAATGATCCAGGATAATCTGCTAAGAGTCAGAGATGATGAACTCTGTGATTCTATTAACATAACTTGTGTTTTCAAAATAAGTCTTCAATTATCTATTTCACAGAACTATGTAGGAAGAAAATAACAGAATTTTTGTATTTTCATGTAGCACAAAATAACACAGGGAAACCAAATGTGCATGGAAATCAGAACTCATAATGCTTACTAAAGTTGATGGTACTTTGTATTTTTCACGGCTCCTGTGACAGGGTCTGTTTTAGATCTGTAAGAGAGAAAAAGTATTTGAGGTTCTGTAAAATCTCACAGCTTGTTAGCTGTACAGGAATCTGGAAGGCAGAGAACATTGCATAAAAGAAAAAAATCAAAAGAATTAGCAGTTGATGATTATGAAAATAAAGTTTTATATTTCCTCAAATACTTGATTTTGGAGTAGAGTCTCCATTCAAAACCTTCTGGTTGGGCGTGGTAGAACCTCTTAATCTCCAGCTACTTGAGATACACAGGCAGGAGAATTTCCATTCAAGGCAGCCCTGGCATCATTAACAAGACTCTATCTCATAAATAAAATATGAATAAAGGGTGGGTGTTATTGGTCAAGTGGTAGTTGACCATTTGCCTAGAAGGCCCTGGATTCGTTCCCCAGTACTGCAAAAAAGAAAAGTAAAGAAAACAAACACAATCCCCACCTCCCCCCCCAAAAAAAACACAAACAAAAACCTTTCTAACACAACTATTACAAAATTAAAATTTGGCTTTCATTTAAATACACTTGAGCCAGGTGCAGTAATCTCAGCTACTCAGGAGGAGATCAGGATGACCTTGGTTTAAGGCCAGCTTGAGCAAAACGATTGTGAGACTTCATCTCAACAGAAATGTTATATGTGATGATTCATGCCTATAATTCTGGCAACATAGGAGGTATAAATAGGGGGACTGAAGTCTAGGCTGGCCAGGCAAAACACCTAAGACCCAATTAAAAAAATAACTGAAGCAAAAAGAGATAGAGGCATGGCTCAAGTGATAGAGCGCTTGCCTAGCCAGCACGAGATCCTGAGTTCACACCCTAGTGCTGCCAAAAAAATTGAAACATTAAAACTAAATACATAAAACACTTTTTGCCTTAGTTAAGTTAAGGATGGTCTTCCTAATTATTCAGTTAGATAGCCCACAAACTGAGTTTTTCACCCTGCATTTCATTCTGGTCTTATGGAATATTTTGTATAAAATTTCCTGGGATGAGGATTTATAAGTTTTACTTTTAGGAAGACTGTAAGCAGTTGCCAGTGAGGCCCTCAGTCTTTGTGAGTGTGTGTTCCCAATTACAACAACATCTTCATCAGTCTGTTCAGCTGCTGTTGCTGACAAAAGGAGAATTACACACGCTAAATGACGTGTAGAATTAGCAATTAGATGCTTACATGGAGGTAGCCAACAGGTTAATTCAAGATGAAAAACCCACTCCTGCACTGATCAAATCAAAGCCTAAACTGCCATGTTCTTCCTTTTCCTTGTGGAAACTCCGGCAACTTTAACTTAGGAAGGTCTTTCTAGAACAGCAGAAAGAACAATAGATTGGTGACTAGGAGGCAGCCATGCACTAGTTGGTGTCCTTGGGCAAAGTCCTCAACCTGTGCAGACCTAAATGTCTTCCTTGGTTGGAGGGGTGGGCACACAGGATGTCACATGGTCCCTGAGGTCTCCTCCAGCCCTGTGAGGTTAGAACAGTGTGTACTGGCTTCCTAGAGTTGCTATAACAAAGTACCACAGATGGTTCTGGAGGCTGGAAGGTCAAGTTGAAGGTCTTGGTAGCATGGTTCCTTCTGAGAGTTGCCAAGGCAAGATCTGCTCCAAGCTCCCTGACTTGAACAGTTATCTTCTCCCTCTGTGTCTTCACACGGTTTTCCTGTATGACTATGTCTGAACTTCCTTCTCATCCTTTTGGGGTTTTTTTGGCAGTGCTGGGGTTTGAACTCAGGGACTCGTGCTTGCTAGCAAGGCATTCTGCCACATAAGCGACTCCATCAGCCCAAACTTCCTCTTCTTACAAGGAAATAATAAGTTGGGTTAGGGCCCATCATAAAATAACCTAATTCTATTGTAGTTACAACTATCTCCGAGTAGTCACATTAAAGTACTGGAGGTTAGGAGTTCAACATATGGATTTTTTGGAGAAACAAGTTGGTTAATAACAGATAGTGATTATCATAGGCTACTGATTATCATCACAGATCAATTTTCTTAAATTTTGGCATCAGGGAACGTCTTCAGGATGTTTACTTAAAGTTGTACTTGACAAAAAATTCCTTTCATCCATTGGTAGCCTATGAAACTTGGCTTGCTCAGTTTGCCCTACTGGTAAGATTCTTACCCACTTCTTCCATGCGGCTAGGATGGAGACAGTGGCCAGTGGGTTTTCCTCTCATAGCAACTGGTAATAGAAGCAGTAGTGAACTGTCCCTGTAGTTTATTCTAGAATGAACCAGTTGGGATACTTTGATCACAAAGAAATTATAAATCTGACAGAAGATATGAACCTTCACCATGCCATTTAGTTTTTCTTTGTTTTAGTATTTTCCAAAGAAAATACAGTGACAATAATACTGACATAAACATAGTAGGGGACTGTTAAAATAGCACAGATAACCCTGGCCATTAAATGCTTTGTCATTGCAAGTTTTCTGCATATGTTAACCACTTACAACCTTCGCTTTCCACCTGGCCAGTTGCTCAGCAAAGAGGAGCATGATTAATTAGCCCACAGTTTGTTTTGTGACCCCATTAGGACTACATGGTCCTGCTTCTTCCTCTGACAACCCCCCTGCTGTTTGCAGGACTCAGGCCAAACACCTGGCTGAAGTGGAGTGTACTTACGCATTGAAGCGTGCTCGGACCACCACCCGGCAGAAGTTTCTGAACCTGTGCTCCCTGCCGACAATGAAGAGTGGCTTGTCAAAGTATGGGTGGTTCTCTCTCAGCTCCTCTTCCTGCACTTTCCTTGAAGGGGACATTTATCGAGAGTAAGGCCAAGGCAAAGTTTGCCATTCCTAAACCAGAGCCATGAAACGGTCTGCACCCTGTACCTTTTCATCTCAGCTTGCTCCTTCTTTTCCTGAATCATTTTTATTTCACTGTCTTCTCTTTGTGCGTTTCTGTATCTCACTGTATTGGAATGCTAGAAATAAGTGTAAAGGAGGTATATTACAATGGAAGATCTTTTGTAAGAGGCCAAAAAATACTATCATTTTTAAAAAATTGAAAATCATATCCTTCTATAAATGTATAATACATAGAAACTACATACAGACTATAATACATGTTTTGGTAGACTTACCTCACTGTAATATATACAATTTATATACAGCAATCAGCAAGGGTAATTTTTACCTCTCAGAGTACAATATTCAGCACATATTTACTGAAATTTTGTGATGTGCCAGGCCCAATTCTAGTGCTGAGGATATGACAAAAGGAAAAACAATTAAAAATCTCTGTTCTTGCCCAGTCAAGGGGAGACAGATCAAGAATAGATCAAAATGAGTAACCACAGTAGAGGATGCTTGGTACTCTAATTAAAAAAAGGTGGGTGAAAGGCACAGAGAATGGTGAAAGGCTGATTTTCAAGAGACAGAACAGTGTCGACTCAATATGAAGATGCCATTTGGGAAAAAGACTAGAAGGAAGTCCTGGATAGCTGCTGGAATGTGCTCTTCTGGTGTGTTCACACACAGAACAAGCAGAAACCCAGTGTGGGATGTACCCAGAGAGCAAGGAACTGAGAAGGAAGAGATGGGCGTGAGAGGCAGGGGAGCATGTCGCAAGGGCCTTGATCATGGATCCTGAAGGAGGTGGGGAAGCATTGTTCAAATAACTCGATAGACTTTATCTATCAAGCTTTCCATAGAATTAATTATTTGAATCTTCTATAATTTTGAATAAGGGAATAGGTAAATTGTTGTTATTTCAGTGTTTCTTCTTATGGAAGAAAAGACATTTTAAGGATGTCTTATGAAATCATCCATACCCCAAGACATTTAGCCATAGAGAAAATGGGGAATGGATTTTGTTACACATCTATATGAAAAATATAAGAAATCTTTGAAGAAGAAGCAAATCTGTGGAACTTAGGCTATTCAAACAGGGCCTTCACTGTGTGTATCTCAACACATATTTTTAAAGCTATGTTCTAATTTGATTCTTAAGAAGACCAGACATTTCTACTGAATCATGTCAAAGGAAAGTGCTCTGAGTGAGTACCTCCTCTGAAGTTTCTACTGAAAACTGTCTTCATGTGATGTACCTGACTCTGTAATGGTAAGCACACAGGACCTCCTCACAACTGCATGTCAATAATACGGCAGTCAGTCAGAATTTTAAATATTAAAAATCATGGCACACACAGAGCCCTGAACCAATTAGAAACATGCCAATTGGGTCATGATGACATCAGGTGCTCTCATCCCCAGCTTTTCGTTCTTCATTTTGCCTGGAACATTTAACAAGAACAGTCCATGTGGAAAAGCAGATGTAGGAACACTCTAGTCCAGAGTAAAAGCAGCTGTAGGAACACTCTTGCTAGGTCTGTTTTCTCAAGGGCCACCTTGGCTCTGAACATTCATGACTGCTTTCTTAGCCAAGTTATAGAGCCAAGCTGAGACTTCTGTTTTCATCAGTTTCACTAACTCTGATATGGTAACATCAGCACAGTTTAGTTGTGGGAAGTCTGACTGCTGGCCTTTCTGGATTTTTCACATGGTTTATACGTGAAGGATTACTTCATTTAGTTCTTTGGGTTAAAGTAGAGGGGTCTACACCAATCATTGTGTCTAAAATTCCCTGCTCCGAAATCTCCACTTTAATTTCTTTACCTTATTTTACTTTACATAACAAAGCAAACCTGTCACGGGAATGTGACAGATGGTGGGAAATAAAAAGAAATCACTCTTTGAAATTCCATTGTCTAATTACTTGTTTGTTACCTTTCTCCTTTACTAGGATGTAGACTTTAGGAGAGCAGTGAGTCCGTCTCGTGTCACCTCCCCTACTCCTAATTACTTACAGCAGCCATGTGATAAATACTTGACAAATATTATTGAAGCACTAAATAAATACCTGAAAGATCTAGAGTCTAAAAGTGAAGAAATTCCTGGGAAATCCTATGTAATCTTTGACAGAAAAATAATGTTATGTCCTAATTTTTAAAGCCCCCAAATTATAGAGACTGAACCAGATTTTAGAACATTTGGAACCTGGGAAATAGTCACAGTTAATGATGTGAATCATTCCTGCAAAATGACTCAGATGTCCTTAAGCTCAGCCTGTTGAAATTGATACACCATTTTTCGTCTTATTCTTTTAACTGACGCGTGTTCTATGTTGGATGTTTGTAATTTTCTAGTTAATGGTCATGTTTTGGTACCTGGCCAGGTAGGAAATTGTCTAAGTAATGATTTAAATACATTTTCATAGTCATGTTTCCAATATCCAAAGCATTGCTTAGAACTTACATCTTGAGTCAAAGTTTCGAGAGATTTCCCCCTGCTGATCCTCTGGCTGTTTGATCCATGTCTTAATGACCTAGAACAACCACAGTCAACTTGTCAATACATCTCAAGTTCAAAGTTTGACTGTTAAGCAATGATGGTGTTAAAAAAGACAAACAAACCATTTTTTTCTAACCCAACATTACAAATGCCTCATTTCTTTTCAAGAAAAAGCTTGTCATGTGTCCAAATGCCTTTGATCCCTCCTAATCTTTTTAAACTATGAGTTAGGCTATCACCAAGGAAAGTAAAGACTTCCGAATCTTTGAGTTGGATTGTGAGTTTCATTATTGTTATCACCAGCAGCTGGACCTCAGGTCCTCCCTCGTGCCTGTCGGGCAACCGGGGCCGAGGCGATGGCTGCGTGCCCACCCGCGTCTCTGAAGCCGACCTTCCTGGTGTCTGTACCTGCGTTCCTGGCGGATGTGGTGCTGCACGCTCAGGATCGACCTCTCTTTTGCTGGTTGCCCCTCGAATGATCCGCTCAGCATGCGCTGTCGGGTGCAGGCTCTAGAGGAAACCAAAAACCAGAGCCCAAGGTAAGTGCGTGACTTTTACACTTGAGATGAATAATACATAACTTCTTGATGCTCTGATTAATTTTAAGGAAACATCAAAGATAAGGCAAAACACAGCAAACAACACATGGAGGAAAAAAGACCTTTAGGCATGGTGTCAAGAACATTTATAAGGCAGAAATTTTGCGCTTATGGAGAGGAGCTGAAACATAACTAGAAAGCTCCCCCCCCCCCCCCGTAAAAAATAGCAGGGTTTCTAACCGGATTCTGAAAGTGGCAAGACCAGCCTACCCACAGGCAATCATAATGTTGGTTTTGAACTTAAACAAGGAGGTTTCTATAAAAACCCTCAGGGAAAGATTTGCCTAGCTAGACCCCTAGAATGTTGAAATATATGTTCTGAAGATACTTGTCTGAAATTTAGAAAATCAGGAAAGCGTAAAAGTAAAGGCAGAAATGAGTTGGAAAGAGAAGTAACTAAACGTGGAATTACAATGTGAACATATGTAATACTCTTGAACTATACACTTACAAATAGTAAAGATGGAAATTTTTGCTATTTTTAAAAAAAATCACAATTATAAAAAGGTGGAGTTATTATCTAGAAAAACCTCAATCTAAACTCTGTGGCTTATTGGTAGCTGGTTGCCATATTCTTTGTATTCTCCGAAGACTTTTACAAACATCTCTTTCAGACCATAGCACAGGGCTGGTGTTAATTTCAGATTTGCTAATGAGTGAAGACGGTTGGGTGACTCAACACCTGTGGTGTGAAGGATTTTGGTGAGAAAATAAAATTTCTTTTCCAGAAAGCTCTCTCCAACAGAAAGGAATCCCCATAAGGTAGTAGTCAAGTGGAAAGACAATAATAAGGTGTGTGTGTATGGGGGGGGCGCGATTTAAGGGGCGGCAGAGGATCAATTTCTTTATTGGTAAAATTAGGAGAAGGAGTTGACTTTAAAGATAACTTAAAATGCAATGATTTTATGATAAGCAAATCTTATGACTACATGTTTGTTCAACACCTCAACATATGTATTTCTGCCTTCCAGAACACTTTTGAAAAATTTTCCCTCTCTTTTAGGTAGTCTTTCAATCCTTTTTTTTGAAATTTATTTTTTATTATTTTTAAAATTCATTTATTCACATGTGCATACACTGTTTGAGTCATTTCTTCACCCTGCCCCCCTCCCTCACCCTGTCCCCCCCTCAGTTCCAGGCAGGTCCTGTTCTGCCCTTATCACTAATTTTGTTGAAGAAAAAACACAAGCATAATAAGGAAGACAAAGTGTTTTTGTTAGTTGAGTTAAGGATAGCTATATAGAGAGAATCCTATCTTTTTGATGTTTCTTAAAATGCATTTCTAGAATGGTTTTAAATGATTACTGTCTCTCTTACAGTTAAGATCTTTGAGAAAAAGCTGTGTATCTGCTTATTATTATTTCAATTCTTATGATAACATGTTGCATATTGAAGTAGTTAAAAATTGTTAACGTAAATGAACATTATTATGGTGATACCCATGAAAAATCATCTCAATTCAATGAATGTGAATGTATTACTGGAAATAAAGCCCAAACAATCACTAGTCTTAGTTTAGTAAGCAACAGTCAACATTTTATTGAAGAACAGGATTTCTGTAGTGATAGAGAGTGTGTTTATTTCCAGGACTGGAATGGTGCCTCATAGGAAGATGCATTTGTAAGTTCAGCTGAGTTAACAAAAGAAAAGCAAGATCTCATAGGGTTGTTTTTGGGAAAAAAACAAAAACAAAAACAAAAACAAAAATCCATGAATTCATTTTGAGAACGTCTATTTATAGTAATGCTATTCTAGCATAGATACTTAGATCCTCTGCTATCTGCATAAACTGTCAAGACTTCACTTTCAGCCACTGTCTTGATAATTTTTATCATAAGACTCTCCCCCCAAAATAGTTGAGGACTATAGGTATTAAGTATAAAACCCATTCAACTTGATTATAATACACTCCTTTGAGTGTAGGGTACCTGCTATGTTTGAAATGGAATAATGTTATTGGCTTTAGTCTATGTGTCATAAGGATTACTAGTTATTTGCTCAACATCAGTCTGAGAATGGCTGGGTATTCTTGCCAGAGAAGAGTTATCACTGCACCTATTGAGTCCAGGGCCAAATGAATCTCCCAGCACTTGAGTCAATGTGACATGTCCCTTAGTGGCCTCTGTGAAGCCTGCTGAGACCCTCTTTCTCTCAGGGTGGTCCTGTTCCACCTCTGAGAGAATGGGGAGCGAATGGAGATAGTAGTTACTGGAAAAGATTCCTCCCTCCCTCTAATCCCTTCCACCTCTCCCCCCAACAGCATTGTTGAAGTGGTGGCAAGAAAGTCACTCTCCTTCTTTGACTCATTTCTTTCCCTCTGGGTCTAGAGAATGCAGGAAAAAAAGTATTAAAAGGGGCTGGAGTTTCAACATCCACACGAATCACAAAATTTCTGTTCTCTGGACAATTCACTCATTGAGCATGGGGATTGGAGTTTGGTTCTATCCCGCAACCAGAAAACGTTTGCTTTAACAGACTAAGACAGCCACATAAATGTGTGGAAATAGATACGAACATTTGCTTCAATTTCCTTTTACTACTATTTTCTTTTATGCTCACACTACTGTTTGTTAAAATTATTTCTAACACTTGGTAATGATGGAGGCAAGAATTAAATGCCCACATAAGACCTGGAACAAGTCATGCCAGAGCTCTCTTGGAGCCCAGTGTGAGCCCCAAGTGGCTTCCATTTCTATAGTGGGAGGACCTTGCTGAGACATCCTATGCCTTGAGCAGAGCTTCCTTCTTACTTTTCCTTTCCTAGGGATCCAAGAGCACCCATACAATCTAACCACGGTGAAATAAGACCCACTGGATCCATCCTAGTCTCAGTGTTGGCGTCGGGGTTTAACTTTGAAGTGTCATGCTCCATGAACTGTTGCCCCTGACTCTCTGATTGCCTGTGCTGGCCCCACCCAGGGTACCTCCTCCACAACTGTATAAAATGCAAGGCAAACAGACTCCACCTTTGTGTATTAGTCTCTTATTGAGTCTATTCTTGGACCAAATGCTCTGATATCACTTTCTTTCCATACAGCCTGCCAGCTTTTGAACTAAGAAATTCCGAAGGCAAATCCTAGGGTTTGTATTCCTTTGGCAAATTGCTAAACGAACGTTTGAGTAAGGCAATGGGCAGCACACATGAGAGGAAGAACATTTGAAGTTTTCAGAAGGCTTTCTCCTCCTGTAAGTATAATAGAGGGATATTACTAAAACAAAGCAATATTATCTTCTAGACATGTCACTTGTAGTTACTAAGCCTATTTACATATAAAAATTTTTCCATATAAAAGCAGAAGAAATATCTTTCCTACAGATCCATAAATTCATCTAAAAATGTATGGAGAAAGCTAATTCCACTGTACAAGGACGGAAGGTGCTCAGACAGAAGGAGCTAAATCAAGTGGGAGCTAAGTAGGACCACTGGGACAAGAGGAGGCTTTGGAAGACTTTGGCTCTGAGGCCAGCTGGATGGGCAAACAGGCAGAAAGGGTGCCACATTAGCATAGTTCAGCACACATACAACGGCCTCACACCTAAGCCATCTTCACATTGTTTGGTCATGGAAAATATTTTGCTATTTTGGACAATAGCGGTACTGGAAGAAAGTAGTTTGCATCAGTTGAACACAGAGTTATTGAGAGATTACTTATATTCTAATATAACGTATCAAGGCTCAGACAAAAGCATGGTAAAAGTTAGCTTAATTATTTTTAAAAAGTAAATATGATTTTATTATATACAAGCATAGACAGTGACCCAAAAATGAACAACCAAATAGTGTTTTGAAATGCACAATACAATTATAAACTTTGTTATAAATGGGTTTTAGTGGATGACATAAAGTGAGAAATGAGAATTTTACCTACATGAAAGGACAGAAAAATGATTTGCTTTATCTCTCATGTTACTGTAGCGTGTTCTTAACATCACGTGTTTAGTGCTTACAGCATTTGGTCATCATCAGTTATCTCCCTGACTGGACTGGACTAAGTTCTTCAGGGACCACTTTATCACTTACCCTGTTCTTCCTAGGAAGTTTAGTTCCCAGCACTCCGACTGTAGATGGGCAGAGGAAGAAGTGAAAAGGTGGAGGTGGGCATGTAAGGAGATTAGAGGGAGGGAGAGAAGGAACTGTGTGGTCTGGATTGCAACTTTCAGGTCTCATGGTTGAAAGTGGCACATTAAGTTTGCAGTTTCACACACAGCAGTGTAGCTGCCAATAGAATATTCTGCCATTTTCTGGAAGCCTAATGTAGAAGAGGTGAGGAAACCCAAGGTTTAGAACCATCATTTCTGACCTCAATTTAGTTGTGGGACCTTAGGCAAGTGATATGCACTTTCTGAGCCTCTGTTTCCTGTATGGGAAACACTAAGAACAGTATTTTTTACTGACTTCACAGAGAAGTGGAAGAAGCAAAGATGATTACTGATCAGAAAAATGCCTTGGGAACATTGACAATTCATTTAAATGCTTAGTTGCTATCATTTCCTTTCTATCTTGTCCCATGTCATGGTTGATGTTAAAACATTCTAGAGAGCACTGAGGGCTGGGCAGCAGGTTTAACAGAGGGCCACAGTGGAAGGTCAGTCTTTTCTGTTCTCAGATGCACACTGATGGCTGCTAGGGGAGGGTGCTGGCTGCATCTTCTAACATCTCCATGTATCTGCTCTCAACAGCATATTATAGGATCATCTGCAGCAGGCATTCTCTGAGATGAACATTCTCAATGATACAGTAGTAGGCAGGCTTTTGAGACTGCCCACAGTGATTCCCACCTCATGGTTTTCATGCCCTTCTGTAATCACCTTCCCTTGAGCACAATATAGTGCAGTGCTTCTAAGGAACAGAAGGCAGTAGTGATATGACAGGTTACAAAACACTGGGACTACTGTCTTCCTAGCACACAC